AGCTTGCTAGGAATATGCTAGAGACATTGGCCAAGCAGTGTTTTAAATAATATAGTTTTGTGTGATTATTTAGGTTCTGGGCAGCCAGGAACAAACAAGCCACCTCCTACCACAGACACCATTCGGTACATAAATTTCATTGCTCTTAACTACAAGGCAGAAATGATTATCTGGCATTATGGAATACAGCCCCTGGGGACGCATATGAACATCAGGGAGACCCTCACCCACAATGGTGATCCAATGTATTAAAAGTAGTTACTGCATTTGTGAAGAAAGCACTAAGCCACGTGATCCAAGGAGATCCATTTTGTAGTTCTGTCTTCTGGGTGGGCTCTTCCTCCCACCATCTCCTAAGCCCAAACCATTTTTTAAAAAATCTAATATAGTATCTACTATGTCTCCTCTTGGTGAAAGCAAGGTGGGAGTGCAGCCCAAACATTTAGAGCACATCACCATAGTACCTTCTGGTGACAAGCTTGGAATAGAATAAAAGAAAACTTATAAAAATCCTGCTGAAATTTAGGCATGCTTAATTTGGTTAATTGATTGGATCATTGGATAAAGCAAGAGAAAATTCCAAAGTGCCACTGTAGGAGAGAGAGAGAGAGAGAGAGAGAGAGAGAATCATGATATATGAGGATGTTAGGTTCAGTTCACACAGGGATTCTAACAAATCCCTTGGATGGGTTCCAGTGTGATGGAATCTGGAAAAGCCTTTGGAGGTTGCTAGGTCTTGGGGAGAGGTCCTGATGCTGCAACTAGTGACCTTAAAGAAGAAACACCAAACAGTTCTGCCCCTTCCTTCATTGTGTTTGGGGCCAACCTGAGCTACACAATGAGGCAAACTCCCATCTCCCCCAACCTCCCACCCCTGTGGATCCTCAAAACCAAACATATAAACAAAAGAGGGAAAAATAAGTGAAGACGACATAGTATCAAATGCACAGAGGGAAGAAGGGAGAGGGGGGGGAAGGGAGATGAACAGAAGGCAAGAAAGAATAAGGACCAGAGAAGAGAAAGGACAAGAAGGAACAGGGAGGTCATTGCAGAGACTTTGTTAAGGTTCTAGAAAAGCAAACAGGCCTGAGTTGTTTCTAGAGCTCCTAAAGATGGTCTGTGACAAGGTAATGAAATAACAGAAAACTCGGTGTGAGGGATGGCTGTGTTCCCTTCCAAAGTACTGGGACTATAGGCCAACACCACCACCCTCAGATTTTAACTTATTCTGTTGTATGCAATCGATTGAACTTTATGATGTATTTTTCTATTTACTGGATGTCATCTTCCTGTTAGGTAAAACAAATAGCAGACATAGTTTAAAAAATAATCTTAGATAAATTTGCCTTTTTGTGAGTTCATTGATTTCACTAAAACTTGTCTCATAAACTAATTTTTGTCTTATAACATTTTTAAACTGTGGGCCTGAAGGACCAGTTACATTAACACTAAAATATATAGTAAACTATAAAATATAATATGATAATAAAAAACTCTTCTGCATTTATAGCATTTAATAACATCCAGATATTTTTATATGCATTACCTACATTCTCTATAATAATAACAAATTTATTATTATTATTATTACCTTTGTTACAGTAGATAAGGCATCAGAGGCTCAAAGAGCCACTGTGTTCAAGGTCACATACATAGAGAACTTTAAATCCCAACCTGCCCCCCTGACATTTCCATCCCATAATGTAGATTGGATTCTTACACTGAATAGGAGAGAGTGGATGACATTTTAAGAGCACATTATTTTATAAGCCAATCTTGCAAGGTGCATATTTGAACTTCTCAATATTCTTTACGATTTCCATGGCCTCATATCCTCACCCATATTTTATGTTGAAGAAATTGAGATAGCGTCAAAAAGTGTAAGGGAAATTTAAAACTTTCCCTGCTGTGCTTTCATAGGCAACTCAATTGTTCAACAGAAATGAGGTTTTTGAAAAAGCCTTTGTTATAAAAAGTCACACCAACATTAAGTCCCTCATACTATTTTCTAAGACCGAAGGTAGAGGGAAAATACTGTGAGACTATTTTGATGTTTAATGGACAGAAAAAAAAATCAATTTGGAATTCCTGCCGTTATCTACCTGCAATGCTCCTCAGGTCCCCGGGTGTTCTCAGCAGAGCACACAAACCCAGACTGCACATGTTTCTGAAAGGCCTGTCGGTGCCTAAGCCAAGCTTTCTCTCCAGTCAGGTGTACATATTCCTGGTCTTGACAGATCTAGGTGGGGCTGAGAGTGTACCACCTAGAAAATGACTTGCCCCGTAAGCATCCTAGAAGCCCTGGGTTCCATCCCTAGAAGGAAGGAAGGAAGGAAGGAAGGAAGGAAGGAGGGAGGGAGGGAGGGAGGGAGGGAGGGAGAGAGGGAGGGCGAG